GCTCAGTCTATACTTACTATGGGTTTGTTCGTTTTAGCTACACTGGGGCTGCTCTGGGTCTGCTCTACACAGGATAATACAGGACAGATATTTATCTGTCCTGTATTATCCTGTGTAGAGCAGACCCAGAGCAGCCCCAGTGTAACTAAAACGAACAAGCCCTATGTCTATGGGTAGAAATGACCGTTTCTAGCGCACTCTAGTAGATCTGGGATTAAAGCATTAAGGTGCAATTTCACGTAGCGTCAAAACGCTAGCGGCTCTTCCCACTCTGGCGCTTTTGGTCGATGCGTCGTTTTGCCGCTTGAAGTTCGGAAAGGCCCAACTCAAGCGAAAAATAGACGTGTTTGAATTGGTTTGAATGTTGTATCAGTTGTATCAACAAAAAATGAGTTTCAACGACAACGACAGTGAACATTGGAACACATACTTGAATTGTTACATGTTTTCCATCGATAGCACCAATGCAGTGAATGAAATTGGACAATTCTTCAAAATCATTTGCAATTTCGAGCCAGTCTCCTTCCGACAATACTGATGATAAAACCAAAGGACACAAATTGCTCCAAATTGCTTCGCATGTCTCTCGAATAATATTACAAACTGTTGTTACCCCAACTAGATACTGGTATGACATTGACGTCATTGAATCGCCAGAGGCAAGATACCTAGAACATTGCAAAGATACAAAGATATATAAATTAACAATATCAAAGCAGTGAACAAGTTTCTTGTATAAAATTTACAGCAATTTTAACATTTACAAACCTTTAATGTTATTATCAAACGTTCTTTCGGTTGTATGGGCTCTCAAATAACATTTTCTTTTATCAATAGCGGTCCAACAATAGACAACAATTCCTCAAATTGTGTTGCGGATATTCGGAAATAATTGTGGAATCGTGCTCCATTCTCTATGGTCAGTTTAGGAATTGACACATAATAAAAACTGTGCTCTGGACGATCCTTTAGATATGGTGCTACCCAGTATTGCTTCTTCCTGTACGGTCTCTTTTCATTTTTTTGCAATTTTCGCATAATTGCACACAACACCAGTATTCGTCGTTTCTTAATCTCTTTAGCTATTACTGATAGCAATGTATTTTGTAATGTTGTCGATAAAATACTGTTCGGACAGTTTAAACGCACTTTGACACGCATCCTAATTGTCAGTTTCATACACGAATTTAAATCTATAGAAAAATTTAAAAAATAACAGAAAATATAAATCCACAGCGACTAGCGATTTGTCGCTCCATGAAAAAGTAGCGGGCGTTTAGCGGCTGGCGTTTTATCGGCAGCTTACTATTGAGAGGAAATGTATCACAGAGTGGGGGTAGCCGCTAGCTTTTTGACGCTACGTGAAATTGCACCTTTAAAGTAAATAACCAATATGGCGTCGTACACAACTTAGAGTATATGTGATTTTTTAATTATTGTTATAACTTTTAGAACTAAAATGGAACAAACGAAGAAAACAAAGGAAATAAAGGTATGTATATGTATAGTATTCTATACATTTATTACTAAATTTTTTATCTTACATATTTTGTGTACTCTGAATGGATACTGAATTTGTCAAAATAATTTCATTTTTGTTCTATTTTTTTTCTTTTTTTTTCTTAAACGATAATTATAAGACGATTTCACTTCTATATTTCGAAATATAAAATATACAAACTTTAAATTGAATAATTGGAATACTATGTTGCACAGCAAAGTTATGTGTACATACAATCATTATATTGAATTGTGTGATTATTGAAGAATCGAAAAAAAAAAATATTTTTTGAATAGATTTAGCTTCTTATACATTTTATCAAAAAATATGCGTTTAAAAAGATTCTTGGTACCTGATAAATATATAGTGTACTACATTTGAAGTTGCTAATCTTTAAATTTTTTTATGTGCTACAAAATTATAAAATTGATCAATATAATTATGTTATTTTATTTATTAGGATACAACAGAGCTAGTGGCAGCGTTTCTAAAAGGCAAAGGCTTAGTAAAACAGCATATAGACTCTTACAATTATTTCATTAATAAAGAAATAAAAAATATTGTGAAAGCAAACGAAAAGATTTTGAGTGATGAGGATCCACATTTTTATGTAAAGTAAGAGCAATATCATATATTAGAAAATGCAAGATATAATAACATTGCTGCTTTAAACAACATTTTTTCTAATTTCCCAGATATTTAAATATACAAGTCGGTTTACCTGATGTTGAAGATGGTTTCAATGTAATGCGATCAACCACACCACATGAATGTCGTTTAAGAGATTTAAATTATTCTGCTCCAATTACTGTAGATATTGAATATATAAGAAACAATCAGCGGATAATAAGAAAAAACTTGTTAATTGGAAGGTAAGAACAATTTGGTAGAATACAAAAATATAAATAAATATATGTGTGATATGTGTAAATTTTTTTGCAGGATGCCAATAATGTTGCGTAGTTCAAACTGCGTTTTAACTAACAAATCACATTTTGCTTTGGCCAAATTGAATGAATGTCCATATGATCCTGGTGGTTATTTTATTATTAATGGTCAAGAAAAAGTTATATTGATACAAGAGCAAATGGTTAGAAACAGAATTATTTTAGAAGAAGACAGCAAAGGTTCCATTGTTGCATTCTGCAACAGCTTTACTCATGAGAGAAAAACTAAAACCAATGTCGTTGGTAAAGCTGGAAAATATTACATAAGGCACAATATGTTTCAAGAGGATATATTGATTACTATCTTTTTCAAGGCTATGGGAATAATAAGTGATTTAGAGATCATGCAAATGGTCGGAGCGGAAGAGAAATATTTGAACAAATTTGCAGCCAGTTTAGAGGAATGCCAAGAACTGGGCGTTTTCTCACAGAATCAAGCATTGAAATATCTCAACAATAAACGGAGGCAGACGAGATTTCACGTTGCAAAGACCAATATTATCGATGAGATGAAAGATTTATTAGCTGCAAATGTGTTGCCACACGCTCCTGTTGTCGATTTTAATTTCAGGCTCAAGATGTTGTATCTTGCTTTGATGATCAGAAGAGTTATAAACGCACAGTCCGATAATAGTCTGATCGACGACAAGGATTATTACGGCAATAAACGTTTGGAGCTAGCCGGCTCCCTTCTTTCATTGATGTTTGAAGATCTGTTCAAGAGATTTAATTGGGAACTCAAACAAATTGCTGACAAAAATATCTTCAGAATAAAAGCGGCGCCATTCGACATAGTCAAACACATGAGACAAGATCTAATCACTAATGGACTGGCTTTCGCCATATCGTCGGGTAACTGGACGATCAAGAGATTCAGGATGGAGAAGCACGGCGTGACGCAGGTGCTGTCGCGACTCTCGTACATCTCGGCGCTCGGCATGATGACGCGAGTCCATTCTCAGTTTGAGAAGTCCAGGAAAGTTTCCGGTCCACGATCGTTGCAAGGCTCGCAGTGGGGGATGTTGTGTCCAAACGACACTCCCGAAGGAGAATCCTGTGGTTTGATGAAGAATCTGGCATTGATGGCGCACATCACCACGGATGTGGCGGAGGAACCAATAATACGACTGGTGCTCAATCTCGGCGTGGAGAATATCAATATCCTTGCTGGGGAAGAAATAAGCCGCCGGGATGTGTATTTAGTCTTTGTGAACGGCAATATGGTGGGCATTGTACAGAATTACCAGAGACTGGTACGCCAATTCAGACTGTTACGTAGAAAGGGTTACATCAACAGTTTTGTGTCGATATACGTGCAACATCGGCACATGTGCATTCAAATCAGTTCCGACGGCGGAAGACTCTGCAGGCCGTGCATCATCGTGAAGAATGGAAAGTCCCTCGTCGAACAGAAGCACATAGAGAATCTCGAGCGAAATATTACATCATTCGAAGACTTTCTTTATGACGGTAAAAGAATCATAACTTTGTTATATCTCGTGTATCTTTCGGCAACTTTAATTGTTGTTTCTTGTATTTAGGTTTGATCGAATATTTAGATGTCAATGAAGAAAATGACAGCGTAATCGCGTGCAAGGAATCTGAAGTCAACACCAACACGACACATTTGGAAATCGAGGAGTTCACGTTGCTCGGGGTGTGCGCCGGATTGGTACCGTATCCGCATCACAATCAAAGTCCGCGGAACACTTATCAGTGCGCTATGGGTAAGCAGGCGATGGGAGTCATAGGATACAATCAACGTAACCGCATCGACACAGTGATGTACAATTTGGTGTATCCGCAAACGCCTATAGTGAAAACGAAGACGATAGAGTTAATCAATTACGATAAATTGCCGGCTGGCGAGAACGCGATCGTGGCTGTGATGTCGTACAGCGGGTATGACATCGAGGATGCGCTTGTCTTGAACAAGGCTTCCATTGACAGAGGCTACGGGCGGTGTCTGGTGTACCGAAATTCCAAGTATACCCTGAAGAAGTACCCGAATCAAACGTACGACAGAATTATGGGGCCGTCGATAGACGCCAATACCAAGAAACCCATATGGAAGCATGACATTCTGGACAGCGACGGGATTGCAGCACCCGGCGAAATGGTAGAAAATAAGAAAGTGCGTATCTTGTATTTCAATCAAGAGCACCAAATAGTTCCTTGTCTTATTAACGTTGTATCATGTTGCAGGTGATGGTGAACAAATCGGTGCCGACATCTAGCGAAAATATCGGCCCGGTGAGTTCCGGCAATGTTCAAACGCAGACAAGGTACAGTGACGCGGAGGCTCCGTACAAAGGTCTGGTTCCCTCGTACGTGGAGAAAGTTATGATATCCAGTAACGCGGAGGATGCTTTCTTGGTGAAACTGTTACTGAGGCAAACTCGAAGACCTGAGATTGGTGATAAATTTAGCAGTCGCCATGGGCAGAAGGGTGTCATAGGTATAATTATTACGATATTTTCTTATAGGCTATGTGTGAAAAAGATTTTTAACTTTATCAATGTTCACTGCTTCAGGTTTAATCGCAGAACAAGAAGACATGCCATTTAACGATTATGGTATATCTCCTGACGTGATTATGAACCCGCACGGTTTCCCCTCTAGAATGACAGTTGGAAAATTAATAGAGCTACTGGCAGGCAAAGCGGGCGTTGTAAACGGGAAATTCCATTATGGAACAGGTTTGTTTTATGAAAAGACGGTTATTTGATAATTTAACTGTTTAACTTGTGACTATGTAATTTTTACTTGCAGCTTTTGGCGGCTCCAAAGTGGAAGATGTCTGTGAAGAATTAACGAAATATGGTTATAATTACTTGGGTAAAGATTTCTTTTACAACGGGATGACAGGAGAGCCGTTGCTAGCGTACATCTATTCGGGCCCGGTAAGTTTCTCTTTGAAGTAATCACTGTTACTTAAATTAATTCGGTCATTCAATTAAAGAAATTTTTCTATAAATATAATTTTAATAATTTGTTTTATATAAGATAAATTATTGAAAAATAATTCATGTTTTATGATTTTGTATCAAAGTTTTCTTTCAAATATCTCTGTTTATTTTCTAATAAAATACAGTTTTAGATTTTGGAATTTTTAAAGTGACCGATTCAATTGATTTAAATACAAAGAAATGAGTGAATACATTTATTTTTAACTGTATTATATTTAAAATGTGATAGGTGTACTATCAGAAACTGAAACATATGGTACAAGACAAGATGCATGCTCGTGCTAGAGGACCAAGAGTGGTTCTAACTCGTCAGCCAACAGAAGGACGTTCGAGAGAAGGCGGTTTACGTTTGGGCGAAATGGAGCGCGATTGTTTGATCGGTTACGGAGCCAGTATGCTGTTGGTGGAAAGACTCATGATATCAAGTGACGCTTTTAAAGTAGATGTTTGCAACAAGTGCGGTCTGATAGGATACAACGGTTGGTGCAAGAGGTGCAGTTCTAGTTCCTTCGTTTCTACGATTACGATGCCTTACGCTTGTAAATTATTATTCCAAGAACTACAATCCATGAATGTAGTGCCACGTTTATCATTAAAAGACTATTGTGATTGATTTTTTGCTATTTTGTTATCACTTTGTGCCATTAAAACTTTAACAGTTCGCTGCTTCGGTAATTTTACAACAATTTCAAATGTAAAAGTTTAACTTCATGCAAGTTTATTTCAATATACATACATCAAACAGATGTTTACAAATTTATTTCAATAAACATATCTTTATATATATATAAACTTTCAAAATATTGTATATATTTTAGAGATTTATCTATACTTGTTAACAACTTTTCTTAAAAATGTTATTGTCTAAAAGATTTTTTTTTAATTACATACATTAGTGTGTCGCACAATATTATACATATGAAGCAATTACATATTCTGGAAGACATATACTGGTCTTTATACTGATTTATATTGGTCTTTGGTATTTCATTTATGTAAAAATGCATTATTTTGTTTATACAAATGTAATTTAACGAGTCATTTACTTAAATGCAATAGAAATTTCTCTTTATAAATCATATTATGTAGAATTAATAGATTACATATATTGTCTCTAGTAGGCAACATAGAAGCTTTTTTCATAACTTATACATTACAGAATTTCCGCAAACAGACAAATCTCTGGATTTTCAATACTGCTTTTACTTTGTATGAGTTGTAATTCGATTTTTCTGGCCCGTTGTGCTTCAATATTTGCACATGCTGTAAATAATTATATACATATATAACAGCAATACTGACATACAATATTTATATAAAATATTTATTTACCTTTGAAGTGTTCGTATGTATTAAGTAGCACACTGTACAAGGAATTTATAGTTTTCTCCATGATAGTTTTCATGTCACTTTCCAAATATGCATGGGCAAGAAATAATGCAGCAAAAAGATCCCCGGAACCCGTAAATGTCGCTGGTATTTTAGGAATGTCTATTTTCACTAATTTATTATCTTAAAATAAAAAAAGATATTTATTAGATAATGTAGACTCATAATTATTTAGAAGCTTATCATTGCTTTGCAGTGTTTAATCAACCTTTCACAGTGCTGACCAATGCTGTCAATTTGTCACTAAAATCAGTTGACGATACAGCTATAGTTTGTGGCCCGATTTCATGCACCTTTTTAATCGCATTTTGCAGATCAGTCATATTGGTGACTTTTTTATCAGTCAGTAATCTGAGGAAAAGATAATAAATGAATAATAAGGAAAATGGATCACGTTTTAAAAATTGTTGATAAATTATGATTGCAATAATAATTAATTCGAAATATTGTACAGTGAGTGTCAAAATGAAATGAAACAGAAGACAAAAGTGCTCATTGCTTTCATATATTGTCGTACATACTCTAATTCAAACTGGTTTGGAGTTAGCACATCTGCTAATGGTACTATTTCTTTCTTGTAAATTTCCTTCAACTCTTTCGGCACATACATCTCTCCATTGTCACCCATAACAGGATCACAAACTAGCATAAAAAAACAAACAAGTATCATGAATAAAGCATTGATCATAAAAATAGCTCATTATCAATCTAAAAGAATATATAAAGAAATACACACCATATATAAGATTTGGATTTTTGTATTTCAACGACGTGACCAGTGATGCTATCCTTTTTAAGAAAGAAGCAGAACCAATGTATCCAGTCAGTAAATGTGTATAACTGTCCAAATCATTTTGCGTTAGGCCATCAATGAGATCATCTAAAATTATCATCTTAATTATCTCTGAGAAATGCTTAACTGTTGAATGATCATTGTGTTATATAAGTTCTTACCCAAGTCTTTATCATTGAGTATTTGTCCTTTAAATACCTTATAGCCGGTATGATTAGATAATTGTACAGAATTGATTGCATCAACCTCAAAGCCTAAAAGCTAATAAAAAAATCGATCCCTTTATTTTTTATTTAAGTGGGAAAAATGTTTATTCAATTATTATCTATTCTAAACTTGAGCTATCCAGATAGCGCATTGTTTTATCAGATAATACATTAGTTTATCAGATAGCACATTATTTAACACAAATTGATGTTAGCAAAAGTTATAATGAAATGAAAAACGTTTCACAATTTGCAGTTTTAATTTTAATAACAAATTCCTTTCTTTAATCACTTATAACTTGAAAACTAGCTTTGATATTTTTATAAAAAAATTGATTCAAAATTTATTATTAAAATTGTAAGACTCTATTATAATGTACTCGCTAGTGAATTGTACTCGCATTTTCAAATAGATGTTCTTGCCACGAGTAATGGAAAATTCCAGAATTTCCACGGTATGCGACTTTCAATTATCCCTTCTCAGGACATTTTTATTCTCGAAAACAAGTGTTCGAAACAAGTTATTTTCGAAAACAATACTTGTTTTCGAGAATAAAAATATCCTGAGAAGGGATAATTGAACAATACTTGTTTTCGAGAATAAAACGTTTTCAAACGTTTTCAATTGTTAATATTTTAACAATTGAAAAATCAAGTCTTTTTGAATTGAAACTCATTGAAACCAATATAATTTTATTAACTTCAAATTCTGCTATTACATTTTAAAAGAAAAAATTTGGATGTCTATTCAAAAGAATGCATTTCCAAATCGACACAATTGAGATGTCGAGGATAATTTCGTCACTGTCAAAAGTCTAAAATAGAACTCGCGACACAGAATCTTCGAATGTCAAGAAAAAAATTTTTAATTATTATTAAATGAATAGTCATAGAATTTTCTAATTGTCCCATGCAAATTACCTGCAATGGAAAGGTAGCACTTTTATTGCCGACGTATCCCGATACGACGTGACTTTGGATCGAAAGAATGCGTGGTATTTTCGCGGAACACATGACGATCAGCTGGCCAATGTACTTTTGATACTCTCTTGATTAATATGCTCCTTCAAAATTCACTGACATTCACATAACTGTGGTTCCTGATCTACTGATATATAAAGTATGCTAGTAAACACGTAAGGCGCATTTTGCGTTATCAGCAGTGCAGTGATCTAGCGATAGCGGACCCTAAGCAAGATTTTTTAAATAATAACAGGTCCTTTTTACGTAAATTTTTTATTCCTGTTTTTAAAGATAAAATGTGAACAAAGATTTTTACAAAAACTTAGTAAATCTTGTTAAAATTTGACATATAATATGAACATAAAAAAGAAAAGTATTTGTGCCTTGAAATACTCAAGTTTTTTAGGGTCTTATTTTTTTAATTCACATACTTTAAATAATTTTTTCTTCTTAGATTAATTTAAAGTATTTTGAATTTATTAATAATGTTATGTATTTATTTAATTATATTGAATTTATTATTATACTTAGGCTCTGCGCACAATAGAGAAAATATTAGGAATAGAAATTTGGAATTGTTTCATTTCAGGACAAGAAAATGGGATGTATTAACGTATCATGAATTGAAAATTAAAAATTAGGAATGACTAATACATTCGTTCCTTTGTTTGAAGTAAAATAATTCCAAATTCTTCTTCCTAATTTAATATTTATTCTATCTCCTAATATTTCCTCTATTGTGCGCAGAGCCTTACTTTCTTAAAATATGCAATTAATGTACTGAATTAATATATTATATTTATGTATATCTTATATAGATTTTGTTATACATTCTACATATTAAATCAATTAAATTACATCATATAAATATTTTTTAAATAAACGGAAACAAATGACTAAAAATAGCGGCGCATCTATACAATTTTGTATATCTCGGTTACGTCATATCTACAATAATCGCTTCTAACCTTTTTCTGCCTTCTTCGTATCTATGGTGGATTGTGTGATGGTCACCTAACCTAATTATGCACACCTGATGCATCAGAAATACTTTACAATTGTTCACATTAATCATTGATTCCTGTAATAACATTATTTTCTTTTACATTTGTATATAACGTAAGTCGCACGAGTAGTACAAACCGTGGTCGCTTGTCATGAATTATCCAGCGAAAACTGACAGCATAGAGTTTCCTGGACCTCTTATAGTTACATAAATAACTATTATTGCAGATTAATTATAATGCTGCAATTCAGTGCGACGCTCTATACCGCAACCGCCCGATTCGCACCTCGTTCGTCCTGGCGTTTCACTGCTCTCATAGCCAGTAATTGCAGCACAGCAGTCACCAGTGAGCATTCAGTTGCACCTGTGAAGGTAAAGTACAACTGACAACAGTCTAATCATCTTTCTTTTTTAAAGTTTTTAATCGTTAAGAATTGTTCTTGACGTGTGTTTTAATATTTAATTCAATCTTTTGACAGAATTTGAGTTTTTTTAGGAAGATCATGGTGCTAAATTTTCTAAAATACAAAACAATGTTGTACGAAAGGAAAAGCAGAAATTTAAGAAAACGGAAACACAGACGAAGCTTTATTCGCCAGGAAAAAAATTTAATAACAGCGATGCCATATTTTTAAAACAGTTTCAAGCTGCTAAATCTATAAATGACTTGCTGGATTTAGCAACACTACCAAATTTATCTATAAACAATGCCTTGAAGATTATATCGAACATAACTAATCAAATAAATAGCGGAAAGTCGCAAATGGTTGACATTGAGGCTGATGAAAGATTCGTTCACCTTAGAAAGATTATTCAGATTGGTGATAATATAAAAACATCAGATGATAATCTTTCGCAGTATACTCAATTGTCCACACCTGCAATGATTGAGGTAAGTATGACATTGTATACGCTAAGTACATATGTATATTGATGTATTGTTTTTATACAGGTGATAGCAACTTTGAGAGAACAAGGAAAAAGGAATACACCGCTATTAAGGATGCTGTCGTACAATATTGTTAAATATAATGTGACATTAAATCTGAAGCAATGTGCGACTCTGTTGTATAGCATGGCTGTACTTAGTTTTCCAGATAAGGTAACATACACTGCTAGACATTATTATGACAATGTATAAAAAAGATAAAAGTTAAATTTGTAATATGATAAATGGTGCTATAGGTCCTTTTGGAAAAAATCACAGCAGATCTACTGGAATGCTTACCAAAAAGTATCAGTGCAGCTACAAATAGATATATAGTAACATCGCTAGGATTTCTACATTATAAAAATGAAAATGTGCTCGACACAATCTGTGATACGCTCTTTGCAAATTCGATTAATTACAAATTTCAAGACTATTCGTCGATACTACAAACATTTGCAGCTTTACAGTATAAATCGGAGCGAGTAAATTCATTTATTGAGGTATATGAAAAAATTTCAGTTCTATGTATGGAAGTCTTTCTTTAGCCATAAAAAAGTTACACATTTTATCTTCTGTGATATAGGTCTATACTCATTAATTATTTTTGTGAACAGAAATTCACAGAGGAAGCAAACCAATTTCAAACATCTTCCACTGAATGGTTGGATATCGTTTGGTCCTTAGCAGTATTAGGTGCAGTGAAGACACAACACGTCGAATCTGTATTGGAACCTGCATTTATGGAAAGGTTAAACGGTTCGTATCTGTTGCTGAATCATATAACTATATGATCTATCGTTACATTTTAATATATTAATAATATCATTCATTTGTTTTTATAATTTGTGCAGTTTCCTCCAAACTAAATGTATCAAAGAAATTAAAATTATTAAATATCAACGGCGTTGCGCAGTTTGTCCTGAAAGATTATAAAGGTATACATTTAGAAATATATGTGCACTGATATATTTTTAAATTTTATGTACTATTATTGTTTTAAATTGCAGGGCCTCTGTTGAATACAGATTCTGAAGTATTTAAAAATATATCTTTGGTTAGAGCAAAAGAAAAGCAAATGTACATAGATGCGTTGTTGGAAACATTAAAGAAACTATTGCCATCTCAATCTTACTTTAAAGCCAATTTTGATACAAATATGGGCTTTTACTAGGTAAATATTTCAATACAGTAAACAGTAAGCATTTATTTTATATCGTGATATAAAATAAATCAATATATTGTGTTAATCTTATCGAGCAATTAAAAAGATTGTATTGTATCGTTTCCAGATGCAGAATATCGTATAAATGATCAACATAAACTTGTAAAAGTGGAAAATTGGGATGAACAATCCACAAATGTAAAGAGGTACGTCACATATAATCAAATTGTCAAAATTATTTTGTAGTTTGACAACAATTTTAAAGTATTTTTTTCTGTTTTCAAAAAACGTGGAATATTAATTATTTTATAATTATAAGATAAAAATTCTACAATATAATTATATATTTTAGGATAGGAATAATGATTCACGATTACCACGACTATTGTCGAGGACAGACCGATCTCATAGGATCGACATATTTATATACAGAATTATTAAAAGCCAGAGGATACGACCTTATAACAATTTCGTATGAAAACTTCAGCATACAGGACAAAGTCGACAAACGAATCGATTATTTGAAGCAACGTCTGAATAGTGTACAGGAAATGAGTTCTATAGAGTAGCAAGATTGGTCCTAATTCAATAAAATCCAAATAAATATTTAAAAAAAATGTACAGATGTCACATGTGCTTTCCTTGTTTTATGTTTCAGAAAATTGGAAATTATTAAATGTCTGTTGATTTGTGTTTTATTTTGGCATGTTGTTCTCAGGATGCAGTAAAAAAATAGAAATAAAAAAGTATATATATATATTTTTAATATCTAATCTTTATGTTGATAATCATTTTATTTACATTGAATATTTTACTTCATTATCATTATGAATTACTACTTCGTTCTTCATTCTTTATCTGGACAAAACCTGTCACTGTGGTGGCCGCCAAGGCTCAATCTTTGGTCTTGTGGTGCTGTAAGGCATATAAGCCTGATCTGTACCACTCATATTTTGTGTATGATCCATCATCCATTTGTATTTTGGTCGAGACGGATCTTTATGCGGTGGTAAATCAGTCTTATAATGTAGCCAACCAAACCATTCTGGTGGAACTTGAGAACCATCATAATTGAATCCAACTCTATCAGCATATATTACCCATCTATTACGACCTATAGAGAATTTTCAATCAATATAATGATGTTAACTGCGTGCATATATTTGTTCTACTTGCAGCAATTGGAAATCTCTTTACATGTTACTTTACAAAAGTAAATTGGATAACATAAGGATAAGTGTCAACTAATTTCTTTCAACATTGTTTCAAACATCAAATTAACCAATATCCATATTTATCAATGACTTACCTACAAAGTACATATTGTTCTCATAATATCGATTTCCATATTTATCTTCTCCTATTAAAGTACCAGTCTTCAGGTCATCCGTCCTGTCAAATAAAATGCAAAATTTCAAATAACTCTGTATTTAATTGTCAAAAATTCTAAATTGATACATATTATGCACTTTTAAAACAATATTTTCTGTAAAAATAAGAGTCATAATACATCATTGTCATAAAACTTAGACAAGTTGTAAAATCCACGGTCAAATACTAATAGAGATTACACAATATTAGTCAAAATGGAATGTCAGCTGTATCAATATATATATAATATAAGTACATAATAACAACCTGAACAATGTCCTTACAGAACGAAAAACTCCTCCATTTTCGCGTATCAAACGAAATAACGCAGCAACTTTATCTAATCCTAATAATTTTGCCATATTTTCTTCTGCAAATAAAGTATGTCACTAAAAACTAGGAAAGACAATTCAGCAGCATCGCCAACAGTTAGGCATTCACGATATCTACATACGTTAATTGTATTGGGTTAGAACGTCAGAATCTAGAAACTTATGGGAAAAGACATTGGCATGAGTGTTACGATTTTATTTGCGATACTTATCTATGACATGGATAATCTGTGGTTTAAGGAGCATAACCTCTTGTTGTTATTTTGGAATAAGAATTTATAGGTTATTTTTATTGTGAATGAAGCTAACAATGAATAAATTTTCGATTATTGAACGTAATGTGCGATTTCAGCTGCGACGTACGAACACAATTGCTGCAGGACAAAAGCAATCACCGTCTGAATATTGTTTGCAGCTGGTTAGGTATTTGTATTGTGCTAAAGTATAAAATTGCATAAACAAAAAAATTGTACTTATTTACAATTACATATGTTACATTAATATGCAATAGTGTTAGTAGTTGTATCTTACTAATAGTAATTAATTTAGATATTTCTAAAAATTTTTTACAATTTCTGAAAGATATACTTTAATATATCTCATATCTTTTTTTTTGCATATAGAATAAAGTGGAATTTGTTGCACAGAATGTATTAAAAGGATTATGCTTAAAGTGTATAAAATCAAGTTAACATCAAATCTATTGAAAATTGTGCTTATATATGTATTATCTTTCTAGGAAGAGCGACTATGAGAATTTTCTGTGTACATTATTACTTCCACACAGTATTAGATCGGCGGCGTTTGCTATACGCGCATTTAATGTTGAAGTAGCTCAAGTAGAGGATCAAGTGAGCGATGATAAAATAGGAGCTATGCGACTGCAATTTTGGACAGATGCCCTGAAAAATATTTATAACGATCATCCGCCAAGAAGCCCCGTAGCATTGGAGTTACACCGGGTTAGATGACCAAACGCATTGTAATACGTTTGCAAGATTATTGGGATCAGCTGGCAATTAGAGATCTTTCGCATCTTGCAGATCCTTCAGCGACACAAGCTCTCTAAACGTTACTTCAAGCGCTTGATTGATGCTCGTTTAAATAAGTTGAGTAGTTCGATATTTGTAGACTTAGAATCGTTAGAACAATATTGCGATTATACCGCGTCATCGATCTATTATCTGCTGTTAGAGGCACAGGGTACGGCAAATGTTGATGCAGATCACGCGGCCAGTCACTTTGGTAAAGCGCACGGTCTAGTCACATTGATACGTTCCGTCCCGTACAACGCTCGAAAACGAGTCATGGTACTGCCACAAGATGTTTTATTGAAAAACAGCGTTTCCTCCGAATCTGTTTTCCAGGGGCAGCCCAGTGCTGGATTTAAAGACGCGATATTTGAAGTCGCGTCTTGCGCTAAGCAGCATCTAAAAATGGTATTTGTCAAAAAATAACCACATATACATATTCTTAATTAAATATTATAATTTTTGTGTTAAAAAGGGAGCTCTGAACAGTTTTCGATAAGTATATATTTGTTTTAGGCGACGTCTCTTAAAAAGAAAGCGGGAAAAGATCTCAACGTAATATTTCTGCCAGCGGTTTGCATGGAAAATTATTTAGAGGAATTAAGAAAAGTAGACTTTAATGTTTTCCACTTAACACTACAAAGAAGAAGAGGCATTCTTCCATTACAATTACTTTGGAAAAAGATATGGTCTTAGTTATTAAAAACTTTATATTTATTTAAGGTAATGAATAATGTATATTTATTTATTGCCTCCACTTGCTTCAAAATAGTTATTTTAAATTTCAGAAAAAAGCCAAGAAACAGAATAAATTTTAAAGTTGATATTACATAAATTCGACTTTCAAATAGATTAATTTTCTATTGGTTAAATATTTTTTAAAGTTAACGATTATACAAATTTACAGTTTTGTGCATTTTTGTAAAAAAGAAAAAAATAGAAAAACGTAGATTTTAATATTTTATAGATATACAATATATATATAACTTTAAAATATATATAAATATTTTTATATTAATAAAATTATAAATTTATAAATTTATAATTAGTTTCGATTTTCAAAATCGCGCCATTAGAGATCTGCTTGAAGTTTACAACCTACATTGGGCGCGTTCAGCAGAACAAATCGCTTGGTAGCAATCGAACATGATTGGCTCTTACTTTTAGAACCAACAAATCAACAGTCGAGATTCAACGGAAAGTCTACAACTGTTGAGTCTGCTGAACGCAGTCATTGAGCTCTATACAGCTCTATACATTTGGAGAGAGCCTTAAAGGAGTGAGGGTGGACCACTGTGGAAAAGAGACAGTTTAATATTGCCGTGGGGTATCTATCTCATCCCCGCCAATACACGTGGTAAATGCGGAAGGAGGACAGACATCCCATGACTACTATTGCTATCTTTGAGTGCATTGAGTACTACAAGCTCCATGGTGGATTCAAAAGTAATAACCAATCACATTCGATTGCTACTTAGCCGCTCAGTGAGCGCTTGGATGCATCCAATAGGTGCCATTTGTGTTGGATGACTGATTCTGATACTCTCATGATTTGATAGAATTTATGCGGTATAGCGGCTAGTTGGACAATTTGCGTTATTTTCGTGTAGATAAGTAACATTGTGCATTTCAACGATTTTAAGTGCGACAGAACTCTTGATAATTAATTCACACTTTATATTGTATTTTAACGATCGCATTATTAACGACGACGCTTAAATAATTGCAGGTAACCATCCATATTTTTGTCTTATTTTGAAATTTTTACTTAGTTTGTTTATATGCCCTTCATATTTTCTTAATTAGCTTTCTTTGCTTGATATATTTCGTATAAAGTATCTTGATAAATAATAGGTTAAACGATAGTTTCATTATTTCAAGGTTATGAAAGTATAATATAGCAATAAATTTGTATACCTGATGGAATAGCTTTTTTTTACTTAATAATAGACTAAGGTACAAAAATTGATATTTTTTGTAGATCAAAATGTCTACTACATCACAGAAGCATAGAAATTTTGTAGCGGAACCAATGGGAGATAAGCCTGTAACCGAACTTGCTGGTGTTGGAGAGGTATTAGGCAAAAGATTAGAAGCTGTAGGTTTTGATAAGGTAATATTTATAATATTTTCAATTACCAATATCTATAAATTATTTTTAATATTTAAAATGATGGTTGAAAGAGAATTTATCCAAATAAAATTGTATTCTATTTGAATATAAGTTAATAAATATATGTTATAAATATTTAAATTTTATTATATAGGCATATGTAGTACTAGGACAATACTTAGTACTAAAAAAGAATAAGGAATTGTTTCAAGAATGGATGAAAGATACCTGTTCAGCAAATGCAAAACAATCAATGGATTGTTATCAATGTCTTACGGATTGGTGTGAAGAATTTTTGTAAAGTAGTAAATTTGAAACGTTTTTTAAGTGCTAACTATTAATTATAAAGTTTTATAACATTTGAAAAATGTAAAATATATTTCTTAATAATACAAAAAACAATTCAAGTAAATCTTATATGAATATCAAACTTAAAGAAAAAGCAATTAAAATAATAAAACTTAGTTTTTTATCTAATAATCTTAATGTGTTTTTAAGGAATAGTTTTTGTAATATAAAGTTTTTTGTTTATGTTCACTTTGTCATTGACGATTAGAATATTAATTGCTAAGATCTTGATTACATATAAAGTATATTTAATTGAATAATTACTCAATATTTGTATCCTTCATAAGAATGAAGTTGTCCAAAAAATTGTTATACTGATCAGTACAAAAATTATAGAATATGATTAATAAATGTGAACATCAACAAGCTTAAAAATGTAAATGTGTGTAACACTTATCTGAAACAAAATAAAAAAATTTACTTTTTAATTAACCTATGATGAATTGATTAAACTACTTTCACAAAATGTATTCCAAATAAATTTTATATGTTTATACAAGAAATTAAAAGATATATTACTTTCTATACAACTTTTGCCTGTTTTATTTTTATCTTTGAACTATTTTAAATCTTTTACACTGGTATTCTGATAGATTTATTTATATTATTAGTTACACACCGTTGAAAAGGTATATATTTTATTAATATTTAATGTATTCAATATATATATTTAATTAAATAATATTTTATGTTATTATTTTAAATTAATTTCATTTTTCACTGCTGTTGGATAAAATTTATCATTATGATAGTCACTAGATTAAATCTTGGTTTTTAATGATACTGTGGAACATGTGTAATGCTTAATTAGTACTATTCATATTTGTGTATGATCCATTTGTGTGAGATAAATGTAATTAATATATTTGAATCGTAACTTTCGGAGTATGGTGGCGCTTTAACTGCTCTTACATTTTCACAAAGAGGTTATAACTTGATGTCTACCCACATATATAAGTATTGACATCGTGAATTATATTCGTAGTAAGAAGTATTGTTTGGTTTTATATATTGTTATAAGTTTTAAGTGAGTCAAGATGTAAGTAACACAAAAACATTACGCGAGAGATTGAATTTTGGAAACACAAGTCAAATTCGGAATGCAACACAATTGTTTTAGATGAACGATAAAGATATTAATTTGGAAAAGATTTAAAATATATTATTTTCGAAATTTGACTTGTGACACAAAATAGATGACATCTGCATATTCATTGTAACATCATACATAATGAAGCAATGTATTTTGATTTTCAGAGTAATTTTGAACAATAATTATGAATGTGTTTTCATTCAAGTATAGAAATATAATTTTGGGAATAGCTGCATCTGCTGTTGCGCATTATGCAATTCTCACGCCACATACTGTCTTTTTAAATAAATATAGATACATAATGGCTAGATATCAGTAAGTAGCTCTATATATACATATTTCCAGATTTATGTTTACTCCAACTTCATAATTTAGTGCTGACAATTTCTTCACAGACTTGGCAAAGAAGTGCCATTAGGTCCTATAATGCAGCAGAGAATCCAAGAAGTAATGGAAGATTTAAAGCTACATGATGACGTAAAGAATCTTATAAAACCTTTTAGCGTATTTGGTTTTGATTTATTTCATGCTGGAACTCTTAATACTAAATACGGCGCAATACTGGGAATTCCTGTTAATTTTACCAATACAGCAGAGCAACTCCGTGAAAACTTGCAAATCAAGGAAGAGCAAGTGGACTGGACGCGACAAGATGCGAACACTTTCTTGAGTGCATCAATGCTCTCTGAGAATGCACAAAAATTCGCAATTGCACATGAAATTCTGCAAATTCTGGCAGAGGAGCCATATTATAATTCTATCGAATTGATGCTGATTGTAGCAGTATTATGGACCCTTTACAATGCTATCATTTATAGATTTAATTTACGTGAAAGAAATGTGATACTCTGTCGTTCACTTTATTCAAGCTTTACTTTATTTGGTGCAATATTTTGGTTTGGTATTAAGGATTATCAAAGTTACCGTTTCGACAGAAAGACCGATGAAGTTTTGTGTAATTTAGGAACTGAATATATTAAAGGTGGACAGGAATTTTATGAAAAGATGTTAATCAGAAACAGAGCTATAAGATCCCTTTTAGGGGATGAAGGGAAAAAGTTATACACCGCTTATGGAAATAAACAAAATTTTTTGAGGCAGAAACATGTACCGATATCTCACAAAAAGGATTTTTACGATTCGCGTTTACAAAATTTGAATTAAAATAAATTTTAAATCTACAATGATTGAGTGGAAGCTTTCCTTTTCCTGTCCGCTATCCTTAACAATTTAAATTTTACAATAGTGTATGCTTTGAAGCCATAAGATGCTTTTAAAATATTACATACAAGAAATCGAATTATAGATAAAAAGCAATGCAGACTAGTGCAAGGAAAAACGTATAGATAAGGGAATGGAAACATAAAAAAAAGAAATGTAGGATTCTTACAAGTGTCAGACGTGGACTATCCGTCAGTCACACGTTACATGACGCATAAAATAAGATACATTTAATTAATAATGCCTGTTTCCATAAATGTAGATATTTTTTATCAGTATATATTGTTACGCACTTCGACTTATAAAGATATATCGTGATTTTTTTTTACACATATTTATTTCTCCAATGTTTTAACATTTGTTTAATATATAATAATTTTTTAATCTTTTCCCAACACATATAATTTTTATATTAGTAGCATATTTAATTCAACTTCACATTTCTTTATAAGAACGCATATAATAAATTCTCACTCTAATAAATTCAGAGTAGTAATAGTAATACCAGGACGCTTAGGAACGATCATTATTATTATTATCATCATCATTGTTGTTGTCGTTGTTGTTGTTAATAGGCATATGTAGTAATATACGTAGTAAACGTTTACAAATATTGCACAATTCATGCATGATTAAACATACGAATAAGAATCAAGACTGGAAAATCTTATCCTTAAAAATTCGCATTTGATCGTATATAAATTCATACAATAAATTTTATATAAATTTATAAAATAAATTATTATTTATATAATAAATTTATATTCATAAAATAAATTTATATATAATCGTATTAAAATCCCCTTTCATATTTTTAACAAGAAATTATGATTAGTACATGAAAATGTGTAAATCAAGTGTCGCTCAGCGCCATAGCATTACGTTGAAAATTATAATTATAATTATAATTATACAAATAGAACGATATAAAGCTGTAAATGAATATATATAATTGTTATTTTAAGATAGAAAGATGTTATTTTAATATTATAAGAGCACACGTAAGTAACAAGAAAAAATAATTATTCAATTTAATACACAGGATGTCTGAGCAGCTGCATATACTGCTGTTGAATACATAGTTTATAGAAAATATTAATAATAGATAATATTTGTAAGTAAAATTTTTTTTTGGTTTTTTTTGTTTTTTTGTTTTTTTTTGTTTTTTTTGTTTTTTTGTTTTTTTTTTGTAAATAATCGTCTTTTTATAAAAGACTTTTATAAAAAGACGATTATTAATAATTAAATATGTTGCCACAACCTATTCTCGTGCGCTAAACATCGCTTTTTTTTTTCTTTTCTTTTTGTTGCATCACATTATACCTTTGTGTATTTCAAAACATACAACAATTAAAAATGCAAATATATATATATATAAAAAAAAAAGAAATTAGTAATTATATTAATGTCAATTACATGGATAAAGCTTGGTTGACTGAAACATTAATGCAATCGACTATCAGAAAGAGAAAGAGAAAATAAGATTGAAAAAAATAAAATTGAAGAAAAACATCCTGCGTATCAAATACAAAGCAGTCCTCACGAATTTCTCAACACATATACATATATATATTAGGGATGCACCGGATACCGGATATGTATCCGGTTATCCTGTATTATCCGGCCTCTGCCGAATAATACTGGATAGCCGGATATTTTCTTTTATCCGGCCGGATACCGAAAATCCAAATGCGACTAATGCGAGTATTGTCGAAGAAATAGCTAATGGACAAGTTGAATTTCAAAGAAAACTTAGTGACAGATCTAAGAAAAAAAGGCAAATATATCAAACTGAACTCAAGAAATATTTAGTATTACCGCTAACAAAAAGGACAGACAATCCCATATCGTGATGGAAAAAACATCATTCTAAATTTCCAAATTAAAAAATACTTGTTTTGAAATATTTAAGTGCTCCACCTTCTTCAGTAAATTTAGAAAGACTATTTAGTTCCGCAGGGAACGTTACACAGACCATCGAAATAAATTACATCCAGACAATGCAGAAATGCTAATTTTATAATAAAAATTTAAATATTTAATTTTATTTTTAATAACTGTTTAACAATCAAGAGAATTGACAATAAAATATTATTTTAAAGTAAATAACAATATTTTCTTTTCTTTATTTAATTGATAATTAATTCCATTTTTTAAATATTGGAATGTTTCTGCCGGATAATATCCGGTTTATCCGAAAAAATAGTGTCCAGCCGGATTATCCGGTATCCGGTCGCGAGAGTATACGTTTATCCTATATCCGGCTATCCGGTAAAATCACTATCCGGTGCATCCCTAATATATATGTTTTTAAATGTAATACATTATCGTTTCTGGCAATTTCATTTTCAATTTCTCCTGCTCCGCATCCAAATTATTCAAGCGAATGTTGATTCTGTAAATAGAAATATGAGCGCACAATAAATGATCACGATCATAACTGACATTTGATTTATACTATTCGGTTACTTACCCTTGTATCAAAGCTCTTCCACGATAAGCTGCTAAGTGAGCATAGTAAGTCGGCGCAGGATAGCTCACCGATCTTGCACAGCGCGCATACATATGACAAAGATAATATGTCAATTCCTCAATCTCATTTTCGGTATAGTTGGAATCGTTACATATGCATCTGTATTTGGTAGGCCTTGCTGTACCCTGCATTTTTACAATGTATCGTCAATATTTATCGGTATACTTTTACATACATCTCAAAGTAGATTATTATAATCACAATGAATTAATAATGTTATTATTAAAAGAGTTCTCTATCAGATGAATGCCCTTCCAATATGTTGAAATGTATCAAATTAAATATAATCATAAATATACAAATAAATGTATTTTTGTAACTAATAACCTTACCTGAATACTCGCGTGTGAAACTAGATAAAAATCAATATGATTCGGATGTGTGATCTCGGTGTCTACAATTGTACCCGCTTTTACATTTCCATTTCTATCGTCCGAATCTTGCTGGCGTGTAGGGAAGAGACGCACATGATGTCTTTTTTGAACAATTAGACAAGTAATTTCAATATCTTTAGGTGTTTCAAATTTCTTGCACGCACGTCTAATAGCATTTATTTCGAAGTGCATGACTTGCGGGAGCTGCCCTTCACTGACTCCATCTCTAGATATCAAAATATAAATTGTGCAGTTGGAAATGTACAAAGAGAAAAATATACAGGGTGTCAATTAAGTCCCGGGACGGCTGAATATTTTCTCATGTAAGGTATTTTTGAAAAAGGTCAAGGTCATTTCTGAAGTAATTTTCAACGAGGAATTTAACGGTGACCTTCAATTTGACCTTGAGCTTGACCTTCAAGGTCATTTCAAGATTAGGTTAGGTTTTTTAAATAGAAACCCTTATTTTTGATTCCAAAATCTAATAGCTGGTGTCAAGAGCTTTTCAAAACACTATAATGAAGTTATTTTTCATTAAGTACTTTTCGAGTTATGAGGCTTGTAAATTACAGTATTTTGTACATAAAAATACAAAATATCTTGTAAACATTCAATTTTTGGGTAATCTTACCTTAATACTTTTATGCATAAAATAATAAAACGAATCAATTGGTATAAAGAAAACACATAGTTGCTTTCAAGAAAAAGTATGCAGTTGCATGTTGCAAACTACATACTTTTCAAAACAC